GCGTGATGGGGGTGATTAAAATTTAATATGAATTGGGTTAAACAGACTGATGGTGGTTAGAGGATACTACACTTTTTCTTTCCATTTGCTGTTTCCAGAGGCGAAGCGTCTACTATATAATCAAATAATCACAGCTTCCCTTCCTAATTTTGAAACATTGTCGCAGTCAAATTAACCCATAAACGTAAACTTTATAAATTAAATGTAAAAAGACGTTCATAATCAATAATGAACTGTATGCCTAACATTCTAAACGGTTTCATTGCCACAGAAATAGCCTGTTCTCCCCTCTTGGGCCACTCCATAAGCAGCTTAAGTAAGCTTAAAAAGTGAGACTGGAAGAGTCTACCAACATAGTTGAAGGGAACATGTGCATAGCAGTCTAAACTGTTTCATTGCCACATATATATACCCTGTTCACCCCTTTCGGGCCACAGTTATAATCAGTCTCAAGCACTGATTAGGTAAGCTAACTATTACACTACACTGGTCGAGTCTACCACACAGATGTGAGGAGAACTAACTCCTAATAATCTCTCACTGCTGCGAGAGCTTGTTTTGTTTTTTTTCCCTCGACTTTTTACTGCCCTATAATCAGATCGTGACCTCGATTATGACACAGGCTCGTGGCCGCGAAAGGCTAGACAAAAAACAGCCAAATGTGAAATTTAACAAATGATAATTGTCATGTTCTACCAAAGAGTTAGACTCCCTGGTAGATCTATAACATATAGATCTAGTACTGACATCTCTGCTTCTTTGCTTTGTGTTTGTGTATTCACATCTAAAGTTAAATTTAATTTTAATTGGAATTGATATTTAATTGAGATACTGTCCCGATTATTTTGGCGGTTGAACATACAATAATGAATTCCGGATTTGTTTTCATTCCATAGAGTTATCTCCTTTTATACTAGAGTCAGAGACACTAAAATATATTTAAATACTCTCTGCAAGAGTCAGAGACTCTTAGAGCTAGAGTCCGTACGAGGTCACGTGACACGGAAACATTTGAGTTTGTAGGCGGCCATTTTTCAGTAGGCGAAAACTTTTGTTTACATGTGAGTGGGCGTGTCTCTGCTCTTACGTGTTTTATTTGATTCTAACGTTATGTTTTAATCCAAAGCGATTCTCTTAAAAGTGCAAGCATATTTTATGAAACCTCTAGATCTAGATCTAGATCTAGTCCCTTTCTGGATTAACCGTATAATTAACGTCTTATTGGGTCCAATCGAGTATACGTTATATACACAGCCGCTTGGAGCTGTGACTAGAAAGCACAGTTGAGTATGAATTATCACATTGTGTGTGTGTGTGTGTGTGTGTGTGTGTGTGTGTGTGTGTGTGTGTGTGTGTGTGTGTGTGTGTGTGAATATTGTTCATACATGTGCATTTATGTAAAGCACCTAGAGCTGTGTTCGTGGGGCGCTAAAGAAATTATCTGCATTATTTTTTAAATTATTATTATTATTATTGTTATTATTGTTGTTGTTGTTGTTATTATTATTGTTATTGTTATTATTATTATTATTATTATTATTACTATTATTATTGCAGTCTTAGAGACTTTCTTTACAATAAAATGAGACCAGAAAGGATGGTGCATCATTGCTGCATTTATTAGTGTACTAACAGAGCCTCCCAAGGAACCCCTCTTTCATTTCATTGGTAAGAGTAAGAATAAGATTGATAAGAATTTAGACAGATTAGACCTAGATCTAGACCCAGTTTTGAAGAAAATATTCGAAAAGATTAAGAGTCTGGTCTGATCAGTGCCTACCTTTCAGTTAATTGATATCAGATGTAACCACTGTAATTTTGCCTCGTCTTTGTGTTTAATTACTTACTTAAACATCACAAAATCCAAGCTAGATCTACTAATCCGAGGTACCAATTTCACTCACATAACTCACTGACTTAAGATATATTATAGATCTATCTATATATATATTATATTTATATATTATATTAATATTATATATATATTAAACATAGTAATATAACAGCATCATCAATCCTAATTATTTTTATGGGAAAATGATGGATGGGAGTAGCCAAAGATAGGCTTGTGTCTAAAATGTATGAAGTAGTGTATAGGATAGATATCTAAGTTTATTGGTGACAAAGGAAACCATAGCCAGGGTGCGTTTGGTGCTGAGCTTGCTATATATATATGCACAGCATAATATCAGTTATCACTACACTGTGTAGACAAACAATTGGCCAGGCTACAAAACAACGTTAAGTTCCCTTTTTTATCTTTAGTGAGTCCAGAGCTGTCTCAGTTGTTTTACTAATGCCCCAAATTAGATTTACTTAAAACAGCAATAGAAGGAACTTTAGTTTAAATGTTGTAGATCGTCTACTTTAGTTCTTTAAAAAAAAAAAAAAGAAGTTTAATACCGACATAAAGAAACACTAGATCAACTTGTTTGGTATAATAATTAAAAAAATAAGTGAACATAAAAATGAAAAATACAGTTTCCTGTTCAAATGTCACTGTGAAAGTTTTACTCGATTTTTAAAATACTAGTAGGCCTACATGTACCCATCATTTGTTTGGTTGAATTTGCTTTATGAAGAGCTTCAGTGCCTTCCTACACCTAATGGAAGAAAAACTTTTTTTTTATATGGCTCATCTTGGTTTAATTTAAAGCCAAACTTTTTTTTTTTTTTTTGGAGGGGGGGGGGGGGGGTATTGAGATTCAGGAGGAGAGAAAGGGTGGGGTGATTGGGAGGTTCCCATGATACCACATCTTTTCATACTTCTTTTTATAAGTTCGATAGGCCCTATAGATCTACTCTTTGATTCAGTCAATAAGAAATAAACCACTTCGTAGATAGTGCTGATGAAGAAATAAAGTTTTTTTTGGGGGGGTTCTATTTTTAAGCCTATACCTCTATCTCTATATCTATTTAATAATACATTTGTTTGTAGATCTAGTTGTAAAAAGAACGCTGTATTATTACTATTTAGTAACCTAGATAGTACGCCACGGCACCCATGTAAAAAAAAAAAGTTAACAAGGACCAAGCCGATCGCCTATCGCATATGAGGGAGAGAAAACATGCCTAGCCCATTGCTTTAGCTTGAACTCCTTCACACAACTCGCCCACTGAAACATGGCGGACGCCGCTGTCAAATGTGCCCATCGCGCAGCAAGGCGAGAGAGGGGCGTACCATATCTAGTGCCAATAGTGTACATCTATGTTTCATTCACAAGTCGCCGCCTCAAGCAAGGCTCTTGTGCAATATCCCCAGGCCATATCTGGTTGATTAACCTGTCAAACAAGTCAGCCTTCGCCCCTGGCTGTTTCTGTCTGTAATACGGTACGTGTATTATACTTTTTTCACAGCTCTATATAGTTGAATTTTGTTATATCGTGATGTTCTTCGTAGGCCTACTGGTTTGGGGGGAGGGGGATATCACACAACTTGCGTCGTGTAGCCCATATTAATATAAGGCCTATGTCTTGTATCAGAAAAGCATCTTTTGTGTAAAACTATAAATGCCACGTCATGATATCTCGTGACTATATCTAGCCTATATTAAGCCTGATTTAACCAGTTCGACCAATGGTTTGACCCGTTTGACAACCGACCGCCAAGAGTTTAGAGAGCATATTATTGAACCATAGTGTCCATAGCACTGGCCTTCAGATTCAGGTGTACCATGCAGTCTCAAGCTCATTGGCAAAATTAACCTAATAATAAAATATCAAAATATATTATAGTAGTCAAAGGCCCCGTATTATTGTTTTATGCAGGCAGACGTAAAAAATTAATGGTAGGCTATATATCGCTATAACAATAATTATGTATTTTAATTGGAGATCTAGCGGTACTTTAAATTTGCATTCTCTTTTTATTTTAATGATATGCGTTCGTCGACAGCAGCAGCGAAGCCTATGTTGAACTTGTTGAAGAATTACAACATATTGATGGTTAGGCCTAAGAATTATTAGCGAGGTCTATGAGACAGCCGCAAAAATACAGAAAATTGCACAGAGGTTAAGAGAAACTTTGTTCTAATACATACTTTCACATAGGCTACGTAATGAAAAAGACCTGCAATTCAGAACAAGTCACTATGGGGCCAAGACCTATAGTTGATCAAGGCCTTTTTTGTATTAGCCTTTACTAACTCTAGTTATACTTATATCTATAGTCTATATAGGCCTACGTTCTTAGATCAAGGCCAAGGCCCAATAACGTCCGGTTGGGCCGAGGATAGATCGGATTTTATATATATATATATATATATATATATATATATATATATATATATATATATATATATATATATATATATATATATCTACCGGAACTATTTTTGAATGCCTTGGGTTATACCATCGAAGATAGCCTAGAGTATATTTGATATTTACAACAAATGCAACAGCTTGTTTTCTTAATATAAGCAATGATAGTAAATAACAAGATGGGCCACTCAGCCAAAGAAGTGTCCGCAGGAAGTATGCTCTTTGCTTCAGATGGCGCTGCAGTCTGTTTTGAAGCTCTCTTTCGTTTTTCCAGAAGAAGAATAGGAATAGCACCTCCCTGCGTGCGCAGAACGACTGCTGTTCATCAGCAGTTCGGGTACGTTCAGTGCGGAGTTTTAGGTTTTTTTTTATTTTAATGACCTCTCGCCTTTCATTCTAAAGTCAAATTACACGAAGAAAACCATCACCCTTCCTCCGGAAGAGGTTTTTTGTCATGGTAACCATTTTAAAAATAAAAAAGCGTTCTTCCGAAATTTATCCCCAAACTTGCTAGTTTCACTTTGATTTTTAAAAACTCAAGTAGGGTAACTCTGTTCGCAAAGAGTGCGCTTTTGTGAAGAGGGCGCCACCAAATTTTGAGGACACTTTTTTAATTGGCTCAAAGAGAGAAGTGGCCCATCTTGTTATGTACTATCTTTGATATAAGTTAATATTATATGTTTTGGTCGTGACCCAGGGTCACAGGTCAAGAGGTGAGATCGAGGTCACACAGCTGTCATTATTTGCTTCTTCTTTTGTTTACTTTCCCACTGCCGCAGAGGCTCGTCGACGTCATATAGTAATAGCCAATGTGTGTGACTCAGGCCAAGGCTTTTGTGATGTGGATTTTGCTTCGTGGAGCTGCTGTGTTAAGCTGAAGTTGTCCAGTTCATCCCAGGTGATGATATAAAGGATTCTTTCTAAATGTGCGAGGTGCAAGTTTCGCCCATTTACAGATCATGAAACACAAGGCAGTGAAAGCAAATTAAGAAACGCTTATTAAATCTATATAGATTTAGAAACCGTGCATCTCTAATTCACTAAAATAACTCAACTGCCGACAGCCATAGGCTTAGCCTACACTACAACTGCTCTATAAAGCGCATTGCTTCATATTAATTATTATTCTGGTGACCGTTACAACTTGATCTAAAGATACGAATCCCCTAAAGTCCTAAAGTCTAAAGATAAGTTGAGGTAAACGCGAATCCTGCAGTCAGGAACTTTGGCCGTGGATTTCCTCTCATTAATAATTCTAAGTAGCCTTCGCGCATTAATTAGATCTAATCTAAATCTAGATCAAGATCTAGAATCTAGATCTAGATCTAGATCTAGATCTAGATTATATACATTATAATGGACATACTTTGGTCTACTCACAAGAACTGTATGCCAAGATCTACCACAAGGCCTACTGCTAGGCTAGTTCTGGAGGACTTCCGTAGTTCGTAACCAGCGACCGCCCCAATAAACACTGAAAAGGCCTAACCCCGACTCAACCACTAACCCTAACATCCTACCCCTACCTCTGGTACCACTCCTACCCTTACCCTAACCCTACCGACCCTCTGTTTCTACCTACTGTTTCATAGTGGTCACTGGTTTCAATGGAATTCCTCCAGTTTATGCCTGCTAGAATCTAGAGTCTGAATAGATAGGCGAAGAGTAAATTTTTTAATTTACACCTGTTTGAGAGACTACCAAAATGAAAGCTTTTTAGTCCAATTTCCACTTTGAGGCGTCACATATGAGTAAATACCCCTTTGCAAATAAAAATTGTAATTTTTTACATCCCCATCGACACAGTTTGCTCAGATCATTTAAGCTGCTAGATCTATGATTCTGCTTGTCAAAGCCAAGCCTTGCTGAATGAGTTAGTTTTGCATTTATAAGGTTATATGAGCGTTAAGGGGTGGATGTCAACAGAGAAGTCCAAACGGGTAATCAAACAGGGCAAATTGTCTGCTTCGATTATCAAGGCAGCCCGGAAATAACAGAGTTCACAAGGGAGTGAGAAACATACGAAAGAAGTAGAGGAAAAATGATGAAAATAAGAAAGAGGAAAGAAAGCAGCAATTCCCCCCTATTTGTTCGGCACAGTATGACTAAGTACATATGAGCATGACATTGATAAATCAACCCATTTACAACTCTACTGTGCATAAGAACAGAACATGTTCACACCCCCCCCCCCTCTCTCTCTCTCTCTCTCCCTCCCTCTCTCTCTCACTCTCTCTCTCTCTCTCTCTCCCCCCCCCTCCCCACCCTTTTGGAAATGGCCTAAAGACACTTCAGTCAGTAGCACAGCCCTTGCTGAATAGTATCCCAGCAAACAGATGGAAATACTTTGTAAAAAGCCTCCCAACTGTCAAACTATTGAACACTTACTAACACTCATCTTCAGTGTGTAACAGCGAAGGGCCCAATAATTGTACCTCGGACTTTTTGTTCCTTCAAAAGAACAAAGACAAAGCGAGGGGTAATTTATACCAACAAGAAAAGTTTATGAAAATAAACTATCTTATAATACCACATCAATGATTTCTTCTTTCTTTTTTCTTTCTACAGATTTGTTTGGTTGGTTTATAAGAGGCAGTCAACAGAACCAGCATGGATGAAACTAAACATGTTGAGGAATCGGTCCAGATTTCAAGCTACACCCAGGTCATCTTAATAGTTTTGGTAACGACGTTTGGAATTATGATGCTGACGAAAAAGAGATATAAACTGCCCCCAGGGCCTTGGGCAGTGCCAATGATTGGCAATATTCTGTGTAAGTACAATCTGCCCATATCTTCTGGGATTTAATTTTAGTGGATTTAAATTTATTTTTTTTTTTTTTGTAGGGGGGGGGGGTCTGTCATGTAGTGTAGGGGAAAAGCAAGAACTGACCGAAAAAACAGAGGAAAAGAAAACAAGTAGGACATATCCATGCTGTACTATGTTTTTTGTTGGGGGGTTGGTAAGTGCTTTACGGCGCTTGCAACTGCATAAGGTCATTTGAGCGTGTGGGACACCTTAAACTTTTTCAGTTGATAGGAAATTTTGAATTTTGCCAGGGTGACGGCTGAAGCCGTATGTATGTACTGTAATTTTATGTAAAAAGTTATTTTTATTGAGGAAAGCAGTTTTAAAAAAAAGGGGGGGGGGGGAGTATTTTAACATTCCTTGGAGTTCAACGTTGTTGACATTATCAACACTGAAAGGTTATGTACTTGGACAGATATTTAAACCATAGCAACTCTGAATGCTGAGAAAGAGCTAACCTACTTCTTATACTTCTTTCTGAGCTCCATGTGTTAGTGAAAAAAAAGTCTCAATGACTACTTTAGAGGGAGGAACCCCCCATGTATGTGGTAGATAGTGTTCAATGGTTTCCTGATGATTGTGAGAAGTCGACTGAGGATTTGCTGAAGATTGTGTCAGTTGTGATGAGATCTCACCGCAGCTTATTGTTCTGGAAGCAAGTGGAGGAAAGGGCTTCAAAGTGAAATAAAAGTTTGAACTTAGGGATGTGGGGGGAAAAATTACTTGATTTACAATTGTTTTAGAGTACAAGAAGACATCAGTACAATCTATTCTGTTGTTAAAAGCACACTCTGTCTGTTGGTAATCGGCCAGAGATCAGAGCAACATTTTTCTCCTTTACAACAACTAAGACCTGACCAGTTCAAGCTGTGTATGCTTGATATATTACTACTTTGTGCCATAAAACATTTGAGAATCTATGACCAATTTACATTTGAATGTTGCCACCTTTCTTTTGACAGCGTTCGTGAATACAAGCTTTGACAGAAATCTCTCTAAGTGGCACAAAAAGTATGGACCCGTATTTTCCTTTTCCATAGGTTGGTACAACTGTTTATTTGTCGATATAATATTTGTATGTGTTTACATCATTGTCTGTGTGTGTGTGTCATGTACAGTGGAGTCCACTTATAACGAGCCCTGAAACAACGAGAAGTCTGTTATAAAGACACTGTTCTAAAACCCCGTTTTTTTTCCTTCTTTATCTTTGTAAATAAAATACTGCTATTGCGCAATCAGACCGTCACGCGAGTCGTTTATTACGGAATATTGCTGCTGCTGTGCACAGCGCACAGACCAATTAAACCTATAAAACCTTGCCAGTTGAGAAAGTTGTCGGTGATCCAGCGAAACAAGTAATGGGAGAGCCCACGCGAACCAACAATGAAGGCCGGAGCGAATGAGTGGGGAGGGTGTGGCATACGCAGACACAAACAGAACGCATCGCCTGATAGGCCAACCCAGTCTAGATTATCTAGGCATACCGTGCCTCTCACTTCTCTGGTGCGGGATGGAGAGGTCACAATGCTGTGATAGATGGATGGATGGAGTGAATGTATGACGTGCGCGAGCAGACGCAACGCGCCACAGTGTGTGGTGGGGTGGGGGACAACACAGCGGGCGAGTAAGCCTTGAGCCAGAGCCCCTTCTTTCTGATCGCCAAGGCCGATTTGTCAACATTGCTAGTACTAGAGAAAGAAACCTGATTCGATTTTTGATCAAGTAAGACCTAGAGATCATGTTGAACAAATCATCAGGGGAAGTACAAAAAGGAATAAACAGAACGCCAAATCATAGATTAGGCCTACTTTACTATTTCCCTTGAATTTATTACTGGATCCTTTGTAACGAGAATCCTGCTGTAACGGACATTTCGCACCGGTCCCCTCCGTCTCGTTATAACAGGATTCCACTGTATAAAAGACCCATTGAATGACAGCATTTGACCCTGAGTATAAAATGGAAAAGAAAGATAAAACTGTTTGCTTTGTTGATAGGCTACAGTGGAACTCGGATTTAACAAGAGGAGATGGATTCCCCGCGGTTTTTCTCTTCTTTAAAATCAATAAAAATAATTGTTGGCGCGTGTAACACATGCGTTGTTTTCACGCATGTGTCGTTGTCGGATGGGCGGCCTGCACATGTGTAACTCTGTGCGTGTCAGGGGGCACCAGCGGTCCGAGCGTGAAACGTTGCAGATACAAACACGTCACAGTTCTCCCCCCCAGCATCTGATCATTATTACTATGATAAGCTTGTCTTGATGTAGATCTACGTAGTGAATTGTGCGCTGGTCTATGGAATCTAAAGTTGCCATATGCTATGCTAGGCTCTATCAGCAACACAACTTTTTGGTAAACAATCGAGATGACACAGGGGTGCATTTGAACAAATCTGTCTTCTTTTTTGCACTGCTCATGTAGGCATTTGGGGCACCACTTGTTACTTCTCTTTATACATTACTTACTCCGTGCCTGTAATTATCTACACAAAAACTCATGTTTGCTATACTATAATGAACACTCGGATTCAACGAGATTTTAGGTCAGGCAGGCGACCTCGTTGAAATCTGAGTTCCACTGTATGATACAGGATTACCGGAGCAATGGATCAATACACTTATGTCAAACTAGAGAGTGTCATGTCAGGGGAAATGGGCACATTCTTTTTACAGAGTTTTTGTAGAACTATTTCCACATGTTGTTATTAATTTACCTTCCACAATATAATGTAACCTTTCAAGTTTGAGATTATTCATTTCAGTTATTACTTGAATAGTCATAGTGAGGATGACTTTCTATGCTTTAGAGGATTTTTACAGCAAAACTATTATTTTACAGATTTAGCATTGAACTTGTGTTTTGCATCTCATTCTAAATTTAGAAATGCTGAACTTGGCTCCTAAAGAAATAAATGCAGCCATTTTATTTTACACTTTCACTTTGTAATGGTGTCTTGTAAATGAGTTTTCCTATTCCATCTCAGGTCGAAGACGCATGGTTGTCATCAATGAACCAGAGGCCCTGAATGAAGCACTTGTTAAGAAAGGGTCTGATTTTTCTGGAAGGCCATATTTGTATTCAAGTAAGATTTTAGTACTGCGCTTTATTGTTTTCTCATTAGTATTTTTATTTTTGCTTTTATCGTATGCCTTTTGAGGAAACTGCTCTTGTAACATTTTTCTTTCCGCACACTTCTGCTGTGTGATGGGATGGAATAACATGTCTTGAAGATGAGAAGGATTATGTATTTAGAGATCTGCATGTCAGAGATAAACTAGGGGGTTCTCGTGGCCTAGAGGTTAAGGTGTTGGCCTCTCATTCAAAGGTCCCGGGTTCGAATCCGGATAGCGACCAACAAATTTTCTTCTCTAAAATTGTCTCCTTTCATCTTCTTTCCTGCTGTCTAGCAGTGTTCTGTTGTCTGCTTTCATTTCCACTTTCTGCCCCCACCCCCTCACCTCCTTTGTCCCCTCCTCTGGGTTCCTGACTCTTTCTGCAGCCTTTCTACTGCTACTCCCTGGCTCCTCCTTACTGCTGTCTTTCTGCCACACTCCTGATCTTCTGGTAGGAAAGATCTTCACCTAGCCTTCTCGGACAAGGGCGAAAAATCTCGGAGGGCCCGTGTGCAAGTTGCGCACGTTAAAGATCCCTTGGTGGTCTAAAATCGATAAGAGTAGGCTTAGGCCGCCACCCGGGCAAAATTCAAAATTTCCTACCAACTGAAATATTAGGTGTGTCCCGCGCGCTCATATGACCTTATACAGTTGCGAGTGCCGTAAAACACTTTACAAAAACAAACAAACAAGAGATAAACTTCTTGTGGCATTCAGATTCTTACACTTGAACCCATTTTTATTCATCCGCGGAGTATCTTGTCCTGGTCAGATGGTTGTGTATAGTGTTGATATGATGGTTTGAGGATGGTAACAGGGCACAACAGCTGATATAAGGCCTACGTCTTCTTAACTATTTGTCTGTTATCTCATTTTTCAGTCTAGTCTTTACTCAGTAGGCTACCATATGACTTATACTACCAATTTGGTTCTCTATACTCAAACAAGATGACTGTATAGTGTAAGGCTGAGAAGATGATAACTCATTCTTGACTCTGTAAGAAGAATTTGTTAATTTTTTTATGTTCATTTTGACATACATGCGAAATTGCTTTGAAATCTAGTGGCATAGAGTAAAAAATTCACCTCTTGATTAAATTAGAAAATACCCTCAGATTGTAAAGTGCAAAGTTTCTCATGACTGACATGATTAATTTTTTTGTCTTCTTTTTTGTGTGGTTAGTGAGCATTGCCACCCAGGGTAACAAAAGCATCTTGATGTCAACGTATGGAGATGGGTGGAAACTGCAGCGGAAAATTGCCAGTCATGCTTTACGGTACTGTATTTCTCATGCTTTGTTGAGGATAATTTTTTCTGCCAATTGGAAAAAAGACCAGAGTTATAGCTTTGCTGAATGCTTAAGTCAGAATTCCACTCAAAGTGAATTAAATTTATATTTCTTAGATAAACTTTTGAAAGTTTCATCCTCCACTGAATCCTGCAAATATGATATTCTTTTTATTTCCTCTTTAAACCCCATCGGACGCTGGGAGCATCCGGCGGTAATAACCCTGTTCTCCATCGGATGCTGGGAGTGTCCAATACTAGTGACAACTGTTTCGTTTTATTTAGTGCTAGTTTTTGTTTGTTTTTCGGAACTATTCCAGAAGTTTTTTAGTAATGACTAAGCCTTTTTGCTTCTGCCATTTACAAGTTGGAGGCAAGGTTTGGGGGTTATAATGAGACATAGTGCGCCAGGTTTAGGTAACTGTAGAAAAAACTTCGGAAAACGTTGGAAAAAACCTCAGGGTTTAAAGACTGACTCACTGACTACGGTTTCCGTCACAGGTACGGGGCGGGCGGCCGGTTCGCTGGTACGGATCCCGAACCCCCGACGGGGTGGACTTTGTGATTTTCTTCCGTATCTTGTGCTCCCGTTACATGTATGGGAACGGACTCCAGTGCTGGTTTGCCACTTGTTTCGTTTCGTGCCGAGTTTGGCGGAAGTTTCATTGTAACTTTTTAAGTAACTGAAGGTGAAGGACAGTCACCTCATCTGGGGCTGACCTGACTGGAACTCGCACTATGTTTTTTCTATACAGCTGATAGTAATCCGACAGTTGCGTCGAAGTAACGGTTGCATGAACAAGAATCACATAATTTCGCTGTTTTCAATACATCTGTTCGTTTTGCTAGTTCTAGTGACTCAGAATATGATGTGTCTGATAGTTAGGACCCTGGATATGTACCGGAACAGGGCCAGAGTCGTAGTTTTAGGGCCAGATCTAAAAGTAGTACTGGTGTTGTTGTTCCCGCAACGAAATCACAACTTCGTTCCCAACATCTGTCTCATGTAATTCGGTGTATGGGTCTGAATAAATGCACAGACCAGCTTTTATATTTTCACCAAACACTCACACATGGATACAAATCAAAACAGAACACTTTGAACTTTTATTCTTGTTGTTGTTGTGAATTTCTTTCTTTCACGTCTCTGGAATTTTTTCGAAAAATCAAATTCATGCCAATTTTAAAACAATCATAAGAATTAAAGTATTAGACCTTGACAACTTAAATTTTTTGCAATGGATTAAGTTTGAAAGTAACTTTACTGTGTCAAAAAATAATTACAATAGGGTAATTCTGAGAGTTGTGGTGGTGTTTTGAAATACCCCAAAAATGCCAGTACTCAGCATTAGTGACTGGTGAAAGGGGCCAGTAGTCAGTGAGTTAATCTACTATTTGTATCTCTGTAGCAACATCCTCAACAACTTCGTTTTGTGAAGTAAAAGTGTAATGTCATTGCAGTGTTTTGTCTTCTCCAGCCAATACCTCACAGGCAGGCAGTTGGAGGAGAGAGTTCACGAAGTCCTTCAACCTATCATCCGCAACATGCTTGAGAGAGAGGAAGCATTTGATCCTCACATGCACCTCTCCTTGACTGTGTTCAACATACTTCTGGGAATATGCTTTGGAACAGTGTAAGTGCCTCAAACTGATGCTTTTTGTCCTTTCTTACGTCGTTTAACTTGGCCTGTAGGTTGAAGCTTGTTAGTTAGGTTAATTCTTTGTGTTCAGATTTAAAAAACATTTTTGATAGTCATTGGCGTCGCTGTACCTGTGCAAGTCTTCAGTGTTTATTGAATGTCATTATCTACTCTACACTACAAACTGTCCTTGCCCCGCGGTGCAGTGCCACTGACTGAAGTGTCTTTAGGCCATTCCCAAAGGGGGGACATATCTCGTTCAAGCATAGTAGAATTGTAAATGGGCTGATTCATGTCATGCTCATAACTGTGCCTGATCTACAACAGGGAACTGCTGCTTTTTCTTTCCTGATCCTTACTATTGTCATTCTCCTCTACTTCTTTTGTATGTTTGTCACTCCCTTGTGACCTGTTATTTTGGGGTGCCTTGATAGACGAAGCAGACCTTGTGCTGTTGAACCTAGAGAGGTGAGCAGTCTAAGTCTGATTCCCTGTAAAGATTTCTCTGTTGACACCCACCCCTTATCGCTCATATGACCTTATGCAGTTGCGAGCGCTGTAAAACCCTCTACTATTAAAAAAAACCCAAAAAACTGTCCTTTTTTTTAGATTCAGCTTTTCATAGTACTTTAGATTACTCTTAAGTTATTTTAAAAAATGGTATTATTATTATTGTTGTTATTATTATTATTAGGCCTATTATGAAAGAGTTGACACTGGTTGATCCCTGCCACCTAGTTGTTTTGTCCAAGCCAGTAGTGAAATGATGGAGGTCTTTAGTAACTGTTTTTTGTCATGTGAGATTTGAATCTGTTGGAAATGGGGGGGAAGTAGTCTCCTTCCCTCACCTGAGCAGTAGTACAGCCATTATTGGGTTACTGGGTCTATTTTTGAATAGGTAGTCTTAAGAGTAAGGGTCTCTTGACTGTTTTCAGGATTAACAAGCTCACTTTATGCTGAGTCAAACAATAGTATTTTGGTTCTTCTTCTCATGTGCTCCTATAGTGTCCATTGGTTTTGTCACATATATGAGCCATTGCCAAAAGGTCACCACTTTCTAAGTAGCAATACACCAAATTTCAAACATTCATATTTCAGCTTGTAAATGCTTTTAAAGGAAACCCAGGGTTCTTCCTTTGCATGAAATTGTGTTGGCAAGATAACTTTCTCGACGGTTTTACTTTAAAAGGATGTTTTCTGAGCCCTGTCATCTCGTTGCGGTTGTATCTCTGCACAACAAAAAACAACCTATAGTAGCTGCAATTTTCACAGAAATAGTCTAAATTTTTACTTAAAA